ATCAGGGGAATAATTTTCCTTAGAGAAATTCCGGCTTTTTTTTTCCAATTTAATTATTAAAAAAATATTCGTATTGCATTGAATTCCAGCATTTTGTTTCAATTTAATTATTTTACAAAATATTTGTATTGCATTTTAACTAAACAGAATAATTTTGAAAGCTAGATAAGGTGTAGCTTTTGTGTCAAGAGCGTGTAATTTGAAGCAAATCACCCGACAATATTACCAAGACACAAACTAAAGTATTAATGTAAGGTGATGGAAGGTGCCTGGTTTGGATTTCGAGTGTGAGTAGGTGTCCCAGCTCTAAAAAAACCAACTGGTGCTGCAGAATGGCAGCTGATACTGGTCCTTGGAGTTTTATTCTTTGTAAGTTGCTGCAGTAGAAATTAATCCACAGCCTTCCTTGAGTGAAAATGAACAGCTGAAGTGATGGTCATAAGGAATTTCTGCACTGAACTAGCAACTGCCCGTCATGCTGGATATGAAGTGTCTTAACTTTCTTTTTAAAAAACGGGGGAGCTTCATATGTTAAGTAGTTTAAATAAATGTGTGAAGCAATCAATCAAAGAGCTCACCAGAATGATTCAGAAGATGCTGCTGCAGAAGGCATTTGGCTGATGCAGATGTAAAGCACAAGTTTGTTTTTGTAACAGCTTCCCTACAGACTTCTTTCTCAAACTGTTTTATGGTTTTAAATAATATTAATGTAATTAGTTAATAGAAGGCTAGGGGATTAAAGCTTTCTGCAAGGGGAAAATGTTCAATTGAAGTGTAAAGTGAACAGAAGTTTGAAATGTGATGGAAGTCAATCAAGCAGGTACCCTGGGAAAGACACTGGAAGCTGTGGGTGCCAGGGGGGTGTTTTGCCAAGTACCGTACCTTGGTCCTCGGGGTCCTCATGGGCAACAGGGTGTGAAGGAGTGAAGGTAGGTGCAGCGAGTAGGTCCCCAGTCCAAGGGAAGTGTTAACATGGGAGAGCCTGGCTGGTGTCACTGGGACCATAAGTGTGATATTGAACTGGTGCTTAAATTGTCCTTTCGGAGCAGAGAGGTGATAGCTGGGTCCAGTGCAGGGCTCCATGTTCGTTGGTGTTGGACTCTGGGGTTTCCACCAGCCCATTTCTCCCTCTCTCTGCCCGTCTGGCTGTTGCTCCTCCCCATCTCCTGTAACCTGCAAACCTGCTATGCCTGATCTCTGTCCCTTCACCCAGGGCACTGGTGAACCCCGCTGTGTCCCAGTATCAAGCCCTGGGTAGTGCTGGTCATTACCTGGGCTGCTGGTTCATCTTCACCCCATTCACCAAGACACTGGGCGCTTGCTGGGCCACCCAGCTCTCCTCATGCCCCACCAGCCACCCGTCCAGTCCAGATTTGGCTTTCTTAATTCCACCTCTGCATGCCTGGCTGGTGTCTCTGTATTTCCTGTGATTAGGCATTTTGGGCTCTATTTTGCTTCCTTTACGCTTTCTGTGCTTAGCAGTGGGCCAGCAGGTCCCTGGCCAGGCACGCTGCCTTCTTGCCGTACCCATTTCTTTGCTTGGGTGTAGGAAAAGGGATTGTTCTGGGGTTGTGAGGAGTTTGTCCTGGAAGATCACCCAGCTCTCCTGGGCTCTGTTGCCCACCAGGACAACTGTCCATGGGACTGCACGTGTCCTGTGTCCATGCTCGAGTTTCTTCTCCTGTAGTTCAGTGTCTTGATTACATCAAATGCCTTCCTCAGCTTCCTTAGGATCTTAAATTCTACCATTTGAGGGTCATTTCAGCAGAGGATGCCATTCACTAGCAAATCTCTGAAGAAATTTTCCATATTTTATTACATGAAAAATATTATATTGCCTACAAGAAAGATGGAGAGGGACTTTTTACAAGGCATGTAGTGATAGGGCAAGGGGTAGTGTTGAGGGTCATTTCAGCAGAGGATGCCATTCACTAGCAAATCTCTGAAGAAATTTTCCATATTTTATTACATAGAAAAATATTATATTGCCTACAAGAAAGATGGAGAGGGACTTTTTACAAGGCATGTAGTGATAGGGTAAGGGGTAATGACTTCAAACTGGAAAAAGGGGAGGTTTAGATGAGATCTCGGGAAGAAATTTTTCACTCTGACGGTGGTGGGACCCTGGCCCAGGTTGCCCAGAGAAGCTGTGGCTGCCCCATCCCTGGAGGGGTTCAAGGCCAGGTTGGAGGGGGCTTGGAGCAACCTGGTCTGGTGGGAGGTGTCCCTGCCCAGGGCAGGGGGTGGCACTGGGTGATCTTTGAGGCTCCTTCCAACCCAAACCATTCTGTGATCCTATAGTTTGTGGATAGCAGATCCAGGAGAGCATCTCTCCTAGATCTGGGTCATCCAGAACTGGCGTCGAGAACTTACCTGCAGCACACTTTGGTGCTCACTGCTCTGAGCAATGGTGAAGTTTCAGATTGGAGGAAGCTTACAGTGGTAACTGTAAGTGTTGATAACTTTATCTAGACCCTTTTCTGCCCCGAGACACTGCCGTTGCTGTTGGTATATTGTCCTGTCCCATGGAATGAGGAGTGAAGCTGTGCGATAGAACAGGCTGTACCAAGGAGTCCTCAGTAACAAGGTTCTTCCTGGGGGCACGTGGGCCCCCTCTCAGTCCAGAAGAAGAGATAAAACGTGGTGCATTTCTGTAAGAAACCTAATTATGGGAACATAAAAATAGTTTTGCAGTGAACGTGAAATTAATGGTGTAGTGTATTGATCAGAAGGGAGGTGCTGGAGAACACTTAATTGTGGTTTGTGGCTATTACAGTGCGGAAAGGATAATTAAGAAGATATTCTTGAGTACTTGTCTTTCTGTGATCTGTATTTTCAATGCCAAAATATGTATGTTCCTGCCTCTGGGAATCTTGCGGAGTCCTGTAAAGAAATGGGTGTTGAAGTAAAAAGTCTTGATTTTCCTATCAAAGGAAGAAGAAACATGTAATTTAGATGTAATTAAGTTAGTGATTGTATTTTCAGCAGCACTTGTTGGGGGAGTGAAGCTCTCCCAGTCGAGAGCGGGCAGTGTCTGAGAGAGGAGATGAAACAGAAATGGGTGTTGAAGTAAAAAGTCTTGATTTTCCTATCAAAGGAAGAAGAAACATGTAATTTAGATGTAATTAAGTTAGTGATTGTATTTTCAGCAGCACTTGTTGGGGGAGTGAAGCTCTCCCAGTCGAGAGTGGGCAGTGTCTGAGAGAGATGAAATGTGAGTGGGGGCTCGGGGAGGGGTGGGAGATGGGATGGAGCAGGAATGGGCACAGTGGCAACGGGAAGGGAGGGAGGGCATCACCAGTGTCCCCATGGAGCTGGGCCTTGGTGGTGGTCACTGCTCTCCAGAGATACACCCTTGTCTTTGTGGTATCACTGGTGTACAGTGGTGTGAAACCATTACACCATTAAATGTCTCATAGTTGGTCCCACTATACTTTTATTACATTGCACAACTCGGATGGAAGCAAGTCCTTTGTTCTTCCCCCATTGTCAGTAGTTGCCTGGGAAATAGAAGTGAAAAAAATGAGAGTTCTGCAAATTCAAGACCTCTATGTGAAGTGGTGCTTTGGTTGACAGGGCTTTTTTTCAGATATAAAATCAGGTTGTGGCTGATGATGGATGATCTCAGCGCAGTTGAGGCCTCCTTGGTGTGTCTGCATGAAGGTTGGGTTGTTCATGTGATGTTTCTGGGTTAGTCAGGGGTTTTGGGTGCAATTTTCTCCTCGTCTGTGGAGACACAAGTCCATGTATCCTGGTGGTACATTGGATGGGGTTGCTGCCGCTCTCAACAGAAACTGTACTCCAGAGTCCTGAACTCTTTCTGGGGAAAATCTGAGATGTTTTAGTTAGTTTCCATAATTAATAAGTGAATAAAGGTATTTGGCTGCATAGATTCCCATGTGGAAAATGTCATCAGGTGGCTTAAGCTTGGTAAATAGTTAAGAATCCAGAAAAAGATCAGGGTATCCTGAGCTCTAGGGTTTTGTTACTAATTGTGTTTCCTGTAATACTCTGTGGTAATTGGGGTCCAGCTGCTGAGAATATTACTGTTAGATTTACTGGATGGATTGCTTTAATAGGATTTGGAGAACAGCTATTAGTACGTTACAGCATGTGCTGTTAACTTGCCAACCCTTTAATGCAGTAATCCCAGAGATTTATCCCAGCTTTAAAGGAGTAACACAGGAAGATGTACATGACTTACCACAAAAAAAAGTTTGTAAAGTCTTCGTATAATACGAAGAAAAGTTTATGCTTGTTAGTATCTTTGTAAAGTGATGTAATGTATGTTATGTGAGGGGGGGGAAGCACTGATGGAAAGAAAACAGTGACCTGAGTGAAAGTAAGGAAAAAAAAAAAATCTCTATTTCCACTGCCAAGTTGGTCACCACATGTTACCGTGGGCAGTAGTAGGACCCAACCAGCTCAGAAAGCAGGTACCATGTGAACTGACATCAACCTTTAATTGCACAAGGTGGATGGGTTTGTACTTCTTAAATGTTTTGCATATTCTGTCTGTCTTTTTTTTTTTTTTTTTTGATTGAGAATTCTGCATTTTAATGAAAGAAAGCAGAAGATGGGGTCTGGATGTATTTTTGAATAAATGATGCAAGTTGGGGGGTTTTATTGGTAAACATTTGGTATTATATCTGGTTTACAAAGCAATGAAAATATTGTTTGCCTCTGGTATGTCCTCTTACAAGGTCATATTTTATCCTCAGTTTTCACCCTTCCCTTTCCCTTGCCACTTCCATTACAGTGGAGATTTGGTCTGCTTGCTCGACAGTGACGTGTCCTTTAATATTTCCCATTAGTTTTCAGTAGTTACCTTTGCCTGCATGTCAGCCTTCAGTTTAATGGCCTTTTTTGTGTGTGTTCATTTTCTTTTGTTTCCCATCGTGGTTTTTGTTTATTTCTTTTGTGTTTTTTTTCTTTTTTTTCTTTTTTTAAACCGTGGTGGTGTTTGCCCTTCATATTCCCCAATGTTTGCACATGACAAGATGTTGCCATCCCAACATTACCTCCCACTTCACTGACCAGTGCCACTAATGACCATCTAGCACCAGCTGCAACAGGACCATTGCCTTCAGCCCCGCGGGACGTCGTGGCCACCCTCGTCTCCACCCGCTTCATCAGACTGACCTGGCGGACGCCTGTATCGGACCCTCAAGGCGACAACCTCACCTACTCCATCTTCTACACCAAGGAAGGTATAAACAGGTAAAGATCTTGACGTGTAAAATGGGTTGTGCTCTTCACAGAATCACAGAATCTTCTAGGTTGGAAGGGACCTTAAAGATCATCTTGTCCAACCGTCAACCTAACTGACAAAAATAGACACCCACACAACAAACAAGGAGCATCATCACTAAACCAGACCTCCCAGCACTACATCAACCCGGCTTTTGAACACCTCCAGGGATGGTGCCTCAACCACCTCCCTGGGCAGCCCATTCCAATGGCTGAGAACCCTTTCAGTAAAAAAAATTTTCCTAATATCCAGCCTGAACCTCCCCTGGTGCAACTTGAGGCCATTTCCTCTTGTCCTGTTGCCTGTGACTTGAGAAAAGAGACCGACTCTTGCGGCTCTTCTTCACGCTGCCTTTGCTTAGAAGCAGGATAATGCTGAAGTCTTTAATGCTCAAACCCCTGTGGAGCCCCAGGGGTTGTGTTCCCTTCCCTCCTGCACGCCGCTGAGAGGAAGAGCATTTTTATTTGCCTCCTTGCTGCGTATACGGGTTCTTAACACCCAACTCTTGTGCATGTGTTTGACTGCAGACAGTTGCTACCTGCTTTTGACAGGCAGCTTAGAAACTATGAGTGAGCGTAGGCTGTAACACCTCTTGGGGAACACTGACATTGCTGCAAATGCCATCCACAGCGGGCACAGGAGCACCCGCCCGATAATCCATGGGCTGTTGAGAGCGAGCAGCCACTTCAGGCTTTAAAACCCTGTCAATGTGCTCTGAATCTAGAGAGAACCACATCGTGGGTGTTGGCTAAAGGTTGCAGTAGGTGTCAGATAAATGTTGATTCTCTCCTAGTAGTCCCTGCAAAATAAAGATTTCATGAATAAGAAGCATTCATGAGTTTCTGACCTATTATCCCAATGGTTTTGTTCAATCATAGAATTTTCTAGGTTGGAAGGGACCTTTCAGATCATCAAGTCCAACCATCAACCTAACACTGACAAAAAATATCACTAAACCGTATCACTGATCTACATCTTCAGAAATCTTTTTCTTTGACCTACCTACACTATATACCATTTCCCAGTATAAATTGCTGCCAATCACATAAGACTTCATTTCTCCATTCAAAACAATTCTTTTTTTTCCTGATAATTAATGCTACATATAAATAGACCATACTCTTTCAAATACCTTTTTATATCTCCTCTCCTAGTCCACATTCTGCTTTTTTCAATCTCTGCCTTTTTCTCACTGATGGGGTCTACTGCTCAAAATTACAGTTTCAAATTGTTGTGGTAAGTTTGGAGGAGTTGGAGCTAACAATCATTTTGAGCAGTACTTAATTAATTGCAAATTAGCTTGCTTATCAGATTTATTACTCCAAAGAAAATGATCTGTCTGCTCACTGTCTAGAGCCTGGGACTCCAAGTTAAGAAAGTAATTTGAAGAGAACATAAACCGCACTGCTGCGTATGGTGAATTGCCACTCTTTCTTCATTCTCTGGCTTGACGTCTTGTCTGGGCTCATGACGATTAATTGAGGCAATTAGTAAAATTTTCTTAGCCTCACAAATGATGTTTTTCTACTTCTTCCTTATTTTGGTAATATTCAATCTTATTGGAGATATTTTAAGTATGACAGGAAAAAAAAAAAAAGGTAGGATCTTGCAGCCTTTCTTGCTTCTTGCCTCTCCTCCAGTTGTAACCACTCTTCCCAGTGGGTCTTGAGATGGTAATTTGCTGGAGCTGCCTTCATGCCTCTCCTCTGCTGGGGCTTGCTTTTGAGGAAACAAAACGCATCCCTTTCCACTACCTACGAGACTATAGAAATCTAGAAAATATTCCTCTTGGGCCAAAAGCTTGTGCAGAACGAAGGGTATCTCATAATTTGTGGTGAATAAAGAAGGAAATTAAGGGTCAATCTGCAGAAAGGGCTGTTTCCAGTCCTTGCAGAGCAACCCTCGGGGCTTGGGCTGACCTGCTCCCCAGGTTTACACAGCAAAGTGCTTGAGCTGGTGCTTATATGTAAGCAGGTGGTTTCATCGACTTCAATGAGATCTTTGTTTGCTTGAGTGTCCTCTTGGAGCAGGGTTCAGAGTAGGCTCTGAAAGCCTTTTCTATTAGCACACACTCGCTGTTTTCTGAGCTTCACTGCTCCTTTGCTTTTTGGAAGTTTTTTTGCTATGGCTCATAAGGACAGTTGGTATCAGGCATTTCACAGCCTGGTATGAAAATCCTGTCAAATCCTGATATTGAACCTGGATTTAGAGAATGAGAACAATAATATTTTTTTTTTTAAGTAACAACAACTTGAACCTGGATTTAGAGAATGAGAACAATATTTTTTTAAAGAAAAGTAAGAAAGAAAAAAAAAACACAGAAAAAAAAAAAAGAGTTGTGTTTACCACTGTGTGTTACGTGGTACTTTTTGACCAGTTGGGTGGGCCTTGTGGCACCGTTGGTTGGTTATTGAAGAAAGAAATAGGTGAGTGTGTCACACGTGAGTAAGCAGTGAGAAATCAGAGCATTTTGAAGTCAGGCTTGGATGCGCAGCCCTCCTTCCTTCCTTCCTTCCTTGGGGCTATAAAACACTGCTTAAATAATTGCTTTGGGGTCCTTGAATTCTGTGTGATCATGTGGCTCTGCTGTGATTTTCAGTGCGTGTACCATCTCCTCATACTATGAGATTTTTGCCTGCATGTACTATTTTCATTGCATGTGTTAGTGGATCCTTTCAGTAACCTCAGTGTTGTCTCTTCCTCGCTTGTGTTTGAGCAGTGATCAGGCTAGGTATTTGAGTTATTTACCTTTTAAATCAGGTGGGTGAAAAATGAAAAGAATATAAGACGGCCCGGCTTAGCTAGATATTCTGACATCTCTAAGCCATCTTTGAAGGGCTGTAAAGAGTCATCTTCATATTGGGCATTGTCAGAGCGCTTACATCTCTCCGCAGTGTACGAGGTGTGCGATTCCTCAGGTATCAGCTGCCTCAGCCACCCTGATTCATGGTCCTTTTAGTTTTCCCTGTTCAGTGAAAGGAGACACGTGCAGAAATGTGGTAAGGTGTTCGTAACTTTGCCCTTTGGACGTATTTAAAGGATGGCAAGATGCCTGGAAGGTGATTTTCCCACCAGTGGTCATGGAGCCCTCCTGTGAAAGGCTCTTGCTCAGCCCCGTGCCTTCTCTTTATGCCACCAGCAGCTTCAGCTGCCGAGAGGTTCCTCCTGCCCCTGCCCCAGAGAAATTCTGTATTTCATCTTTTAAACTCAGTATCTCCTTGTCGAGAAACACTGGCCCTTAAGTTGAGTGTTACACAAGATTTGTAAGTGGCAGCAAACAAGGAATTACAGCAAAAATGCAAATGCTGCCAAAGTCGTAGGAAATTTATCCCTTCTGAAAGGATAGAAGCTGGTTCTGGACGTGTGTGGTGTCTGCTGAGGGGGAGTGCAGGAGAATGAGGATCTCCAGGGCTGGAGGTTGCTCTTGAACAGAGAAACTGGAACTCTCCATGGAAGAGCAGCGTTTCAGAGCACAGAAATCAGCTCACTTCTGCTTGTTTCACTGGCTGCAGAACGTCACCAGCTGGTGGCATCTCTTCATGTTGGCTGGATGGTGTCAGAGAGGCTTTTATTGAGGGAATTACGTGGGAATGAAGTGGGTGTCCATCTCATGGCTTTATGGTCACACCTCAAGTCATCTGATCAGATGGAAATGACTGTCTGCCTTATAGGTTGTACAGTTACATGGTTATTTCCCCCTTGCATTAGGTATTTGGAATTAAAGGCAGTTCCCCTGAAAAGGGTATGAAAATTTGAATGTGCTGGGGGGGCAAATGGAGGTGTAATTCTGCAAAACTTCAGCACTCAGGATCTGGACAAAAATAAAAGAAATAGCAAGCACAGTGCTGGTACGGGATGGCACATCACAGGTGTGAGAGATATCAAATAATATTAAACCCACGTTTCACCGTAGGTGCTTCAAAGGCAGAAAATGGAGTTTAATTGTGTGTAATGACAGTGTGGAAGCGTCTGGGAGCTCGGTGGCCGGGCTCTCCAGCTGGCACGGGCCACCCCCACCTTCCAGCCATGCCCCGTTTTAAACCTTAACTCTAGTTTACAAAGCTCCTTAATTGGGATTATACTGGGATGAGTTAGAATAGTCTTAATGTTCAGTAGGGTAATACAGTTATTCGTATGCCCATCTGGTTTGGTACCTGTTATCCCAACCTAAACACATCACAGCTCGTTAAAGGTGCTCAAAGCGCCCTAAGAAAGGCCATAAATGAGAGATTCATGTAGCACTTAATTAGATTAATCTCAACATGTTTGAAGGCACAGTTCCTAGTTATTACTGAAAATTGCAATACTTTGATGTGTCTGTTTATTTTTTGATAAATGTCTTTCCATTAAAATGATTTGATTTTTTTTGGTAATTTTAAATAATAACCTTGGATTGCTGGCATTTTTTTCCGAGATAAAATCAGTGAGTGCATTTACACTTGAGGCAGAAAATGCAATATATTTTGCATGTCAATGGGCAACAAATGTTATTCCACAGCTGTGAATCAGCTGGCACTTAGGCTGGGTTTGCAAATACCATCATTGTATCTAAGATGCATCTTAAAGGAAACCATCAATTTGAAAATGCGTTTTCCAGCAAACATTTTGCACTAGCTAGAACTGGAAAAGTTGGTGGGGGAAAATATTGATCTTTTTCCCTGTCTCCCCAGGTTCATTCCGTGGTGGGAAAGGTATTTCTTTACCATGTGTCTCGCTTCTCTGTCACCTTCTTTCTTGCAAAAAAATAGTTTAGAAACATTAGAAGAAGAAAAATATTTTGTAAAGCATTTTTAATTCAAATATGCTATAATGATGCTCCTCATTTAACAATGGAAATTTAAAAAGATGTGGAATAAATTAAGCTGCTTATGCAATGCCATTTTAGCTCAACTTTCACGAAGGAGAAGGTTCTAGAAAATGCATTTAACTAGATGTTTAGTTACAGGAAGGGTATTCTTTCCCTCTGTATAGATACAGTGTAATAGTGCAGAAATCAACAGGGATTTCAAAATGTTTTCAACCAAGTTATGCTAAATCAACCGTACCAGTTGAAATAAATCAAAAATAGGGCTTTTGGCATCACATTTCCCTGGTATAAACTAAGGCATAATGGCTGGAAGGTAGGAAAGAGGAGACTGTGGAATAATTTTGCAGAGGCTTCTGCATTAAAAATGATTTAATAGCAGCTAATCATCGGGCTGAGAATCGTCTGCCCTCTGCTGTAGAGCTGAACAAAGTCTAGCAGACAAAAGGGAAAGAATTGTATTCAAAGCAGTCACATTTTCCCTTTATTTTCCCAGTGGGGAAGTTTTTGATTTCTCCTTTTGTTGTCCTGCTTTTATGTGGATTTTGAGGGCAGCGCAGTGTGTGGGTGCCGCTGCCCGAGCGTGGCTCCGGGGGAAGCTCACGGGGGGAGCAGCAATGGCTTGGAAATCCAGCCTGCAGTTAATCAGTCATTAATCTTTTAATCTTCCCCTCAATCCGGAGCTTGATAAGAGCCGATGGAGTTTCCCAGACGGAAAACTGCCCTTCCCGGGGGTGAAGCCCCGGTGCCCGGGGGCGCGATGGAGGATCCCTGAAGGCAGGGCACTAATCCTGCCTCTCGCCTCAGCACCCCGAGTGCCTTCTCCCCACTGGGGTATGGCTTTTGGCTTGCAAAATGGTGGCCTTATTTTATCTGGCAGACACACGGAGGGGTCCAGCAGCCTGGAGGTTGGGCTGAGAGGGAACCGGTGGCGGTGGCTGCTCCGGTCCCTCCTGGGGGGACAGGGGACGGGACGGGCAGACGCTGCCTCCTCTGGGCTCCACCACTTGTGTGGCAACAGCACCCGTGCCCAGCTGTCTGCCCGGGCGTAGGCGAGCCAGAGCCCGGGGCTGTTTTTAAAAAATCTAAATATTAGGGAGGAACTAAAGTAAAGTTTGGAGGTGGAGGAATACATTAAAACAGCTGCTTCGAAAAATACACAGAAAGCAGCCCCGCGATATTAACAAAAATGCCTTAAATCTCAGCAGACCCTCGTGTATGCTGCTTAAATATTTTCTCTTCTGGCTTCAGAGCAGTAGGATAAACTGTCACTGTGAATTATCGCATGCTGTTACGAGAATAACAAAGGAACTACTTAGAATTTTGTGATGTCGGGCATAATTTATTCTTTTACTTCAGTTCATATTTTTTTTTTTCAAAGAGAAGCTACAAAATGAGACGCTGTTTGTCACCAGCAATTTTGGCATATTATTGTTTCATTGTGTAGTCCCTGCCGTATAAATAACCACATCATTAACACGTCGGATACATTCAAACGAGGTACATCTTAGTAGCAACTGTCCCTTCGTTTGCCCCTCAAAAACCCCTCTTACTAATGGATGACTGTTTCTGTGCCCGACCCTTCCCTTTCCTGAAGGGAACGCGTTGAAAATACGAGTCGTCCTGGGGAGACACAGGTGATGATCCAGAACCTGATGCCAGAGACGGTCTATGTCTTCCGCGTCGTGGCGCAGAACAAGCACGGCCCCGGAGAGAGCTCCGTACCCCTGAAGGTGGCAACTCAGCCCGAGGGTGAGCCCCAAAGATTTCCACTCCTCTTGACTTTGGCATCGATTTTATTTGTTTGTTTGTTTTCCCCCATTCGTGACTTTTTCCCAGAATAAGTTGATGCTCTTTAAAAGTTGCATTTCCCAACCGGAGTTTCAAAATGATTTTCCAAGTCACCCTGTTGGTGCTGATGTGATTTATTCTCACCCTTGAGAAGAACTGATCAGACATTCCTTGTTAAATTCAATAAGGTTTCTGTTATAAAAGAATTGCTATTAACTGAAAGAAGAAAAAAACCAGAACTTTAGGAAAATGCGAAGTGTGTCATTTGTTAGGGTCATTCATGGAATTGTCTGGGTTGGAAAGGACATTTAAGATCATCTAGTCCAACCATCAACGTAACTCTGATAAAACCCATCACTAACCCATGTCTCTAAGCACCATGTCAACCCGGCTTTTAAATACCTCCAGGGATGGGGCCTCAACCCCTTCCCTGGACAGCCCATTCCAAGGCTTCATAACCCTTTCCGTGGAAAATATTTTCCTCATCTCCAATCTGAACCTCCCCCTGGGGCAACTTGAGGCCATTCCCTCTTGTCCCATCACCTGTTCCTTGGGAGCAGAGACCGACCCCCCCTGGCTACACCCTCCTTTCAGGGAGTTGGAGAGAGCGAGAAGGTCTCCCCTCAGCCTCCTTTTCTCCAGGCTGAACACCCCCAGCTCCCTCAGCCTCTCCTCACAAGACTTGTGCTCCAGACCCCTCACCAGCTCCATTGCCCTTCTCTGGACCCACTTCAGCCCCTCAATGTCTTTTCGTGGGACATAGCCCTCGAGGTGGGGCCTCATCAGTGCCCAGTACAAGGGGATGATCACCTGAGTCCTACTCCCCACGCTGCTCCTTGTCCAGGCCAGGTTCATGACAAAATCCTCCTGAGTCCTACTCCCCATGCTGTTCCTCATCCAGGCCAGGTTCATGACAAAACGAATCTGACCCAGGGAGGAGGATCTCCCTCAGAAATGTGGTCCCACCTTTATACCCCCCTATGAATCGTGCTCCAGACCCCTCCCCAGCTCCATTGCCTTCCTCTGGACCCACTTCAGCCCTTCAGTGTCTTTGTGGGACACAGCGCTCGAGGTGGGGCCTCATCAGTGCCCAGTACAAGGGGATGATCACCTGAGTCCTACTCCCCACGCTGCTCCTTGTCCAGGCCAGGTTCATGACAAAATGAATCTGACCCAGGGAGGAGGATCTCCCTCAGAAATGTGGTCCCACCTTTATACCCCCCTATGAATCCATGTGAAATGCTGAAATGGGAACAAATATCCATCTTTTAACTGGAGTCAGTTAATAGAGAAGTTGACGTGAAAGTAATTGGCTACTAAATGGTTAGAGTTGGTGACTAGCTGTTCCATGCTTATGTTCCAGTTCAGCTGCCTGGTCCAGCACCCAACATCCGGGCGTACGCCAGCTCCCCCACCTCTGTCACCGTCACCTGGGAGACACCACTGGCTGGAAATGGAGAAATCCAAAACTACAAGCTCTACTACATGGAGAAAGGACAGGACACCGAACAGGTATGGAGCTGACTCTTCCTGCCTGGTATATAGTGCCTTAAACAGCCTTCTGTCTTTCATTATGCTTTTATCTCAAATTTCTAGAAACACCTTGTGAAGTGTTCACTTTTCTGATAGTCTGAATCTTTTCTCCTAAAATATGGAAATACTTAAAAATCCAGCATGAAACGTATATGTCTTGGAATTAAAACAATGTTTTATGCGATGGTTTAGTTAGGTATTCTTCAGCATCAAGAAGCATTTGGGGATGTCCATCATGTATCACCCTTTCAGCAAATGGGGTGTCCATATCACATGAGAAAAACTCCAATAACGGCTCTGTCGTCATTTACCAGTTCTGGTTCACACAGCATAAAGGATGTTTGCGTGGGTTTGGTAGGTTAGTTGGTTTTATTTTAGTAAATTTAGGCCAACTTCTGATTTCAGCATCATCCTTAATCTGAACTGTTCTTGCTTGTTGAGTTCTTTGATCCAGTGATGTGTTTTAGTAGTGGCGAGTGTCTAATTGATTAAGTTTTCTTATGATTCTACTGGAAGAATCCAGTATGTTCTCTACAAATATAGGTTGCCACCTGAGAATAATCACAACTTTGGGATGATTAATCTCAGTCATTTAATTATCCATCCGATTGCGTGTGAATATGATTCCAGGTTTAAAAAAAGCTGAGGGAAGAATATTTTTGCGAGCATTTAAAATAATTTTTGACATCCATTTTTAAATAGGGAAGTCATACTCCTTAGATCATAGAAGCAGAGTCATGGAATGGTTTGGGTTGGAAGGAAGCGTGAAGGCCATCCAGTCCCACCCCCTGCCCTGGGCAGGGACACCTCCCACCAGACCAGGTTGCTCAGAGCCCCATCCAACCTTGAACCCCTCCAGAGATGGGGCAGCCCCAGCTTCTCTGAGCAGCCTGGGCCAGGGTCTCGCCACCCTCACAGCAAAGCAAAGAATTTCTTCCTGAGATCTCATCTAAATTTCCCCTCTTTCAGTTCAAAAGCCTTCCCCCTCATCCCATCGCTCCCCTCCCTGATCCAGAGTCCCTCCCCATCTCTCCTGGAGCCCCTTGAGGGACTGGAAGGGGCTCTTAAGGTCTCCCCAGAGCCTTCTCTTCTCCAGGCTGAACCCCCCCAACTCTCTCAGCCTGTCCTCACAGCAGAGGGCCTCCAGCCCTCCCAGCATCTCCGGGGCCTCCTCTGGCCCCACTCCAACAGGTCCATGTCCTTCCTGTGCTGAGGCCCCAAAGCTGGACGCAGTGCTCCAGGTGGGATTTCCCCAGAGTGGAGCAGAGGGGCAGAATCCAACCCCCTCACCCTGCTGGCCACTCTTCTTTTGATGCATCCCAGGGTGCAGATGGTTTCTGGGCTGCCAGTGCACGTTGCTGGCTCACGTAGAGCTTCTCATCCACCAACACCTCCAAGTCCTTCTCCTCAGGGCTGCTCTCAATCCATTCTCCTCCCAACTTGTATTTGTGCCTGGTGTTGCCGTGGCCCAGGTGCAGGACCTTCTAGTTGGCCTGGTTGAACTTCATGAGGTTCACATGGGCTTAGCTCTTGGGCCTGTCTAGGTCCCTCTGGATGGCATCCCTTCCCTCCAGCGTGTCGCCCACACCATACAGGTTGGTGTTCTTGGCAAGCTTGCTGAGGGTGCCCTTGACCCCACTGTCCATGTCTCCGACAAAGATATTAAACATCATGGGTCCAGGTACTGACCCCTGAGGAACACCATGCGTCACTGGCTTCCCGTTGGACGCTGGTTATTTCCCCCTTGCATTAGGTATTTGGAATTAAAGGCAGTTCCCCTGAAAAGGGTATGAAAATTTGAATGTGCTGGGGGGGCAAATGGAGGTGTAATTCTGCAAAACTTCAGCACTCAGGATCTGGACAAAAATAAAAGAAATAGCAAGCACAGTGCTGGTACAGGATGGCACATCACAGGTGTGAGATATCAAATAATATTAAACCCACGTTTCACCGTAGGTGCTTCAAAGGCAGAAAATGGAGTTTAATTGTGTGTAATGACAGTGTGGAAGCGTCTGGGAGCTCGGTGGCCGGGCTCTCCAGCTGGCACGGGCCACCCCCACCTTCCAGCCATGCCCCGTTTTAAACCTTAACTCTAGTTTACAAAGCTCCTTAATTGGGATTATACTGGGATGAGTTAGAATAGTCTTAATGTTCAGTAGGGTAATACAGTTATTCGTATGCCCATCTGGTTTGGTACCTGTTATCCCAACCTAAACACATCACAGCTCGTTAAAGGTGCTCAAAGCGCCCTAAGAAAGGCCATAAATGAGAGATTCATGTAGCACTTAATTAGATTAATCTCAACATGTTTGAAGGCACAGTTCCTAGTTATTACTGAAAATTGCAATACTTTGATGTGTCTGTTTATTTTTTGATAAATGTCTTTCCATTAAAATGATTTGATTTTTTTTGGTAATTTTAAATAATAACCTTGGATTGCTGGCATTTTTTTCCGAGATAAAATCAGTGAGTGCATTTACACTTGAGGCAGAAAATGCAATATATTTTGCATGTCAATGGGCAACAAATGTTATTCCACAGCTGTGAATCAGCTGGCACTTAGGCTGGGTTTGCAAATACCATCATTGTATCTAAGATGCATCTTAAAGGAAACCATCAATTTGAAAATGCGTTTTCCAGCAAACATTTTGCACTAGCTAGAACTGGAAAAGTTGGTGGGGGAAAATATTGATCTTTTTCCCTGTCTCCCCAGGTTCATTCCGTGGTGGGAAAGGTATTTCTTTACCATGTGTCTCGCTTCTCTGTCACCTTCTTTCTTGCAAAAAAATAGTTTAGAAACATTAGAAGAAGAAAAATATTTTGTAAAGCATTTTTAATTCAAATATGCTATAATGATGCTCCTCATTTAACAATGGAAATTTAAAAAGATGTGGAATAAATTAAGCTGCTTATGCAATGCCATTTTAGCTCAACTTTCACGAAGGAGAAGGTTCTAGAAAATGCATTTAACTAGATGTTTAGTTACAGGAAGGGTATTCTTTCCCTCTGTATAGATACAGTGTAATAGTGCAGAAATCAACAGGGATTTCAAAATGTTTTCAACCAAGTTATGCTAAATCAACCGTACCAGTTGAAATAAATCAAAAATAGGGCTTTTGGCATCACATTTCCCTGGTATAAACTAAGGCATAATGGCTGGAAGGTAGGAAAGAGGAGACTGTGGAATAATTTTGCAGAGGCTTCTGCATTAAAAATGATTTAATAGCAGCTAATCATCGGGCTGAGAATCGTCTGCCCTCTGCTGTAGAGCTGAACAAAGTCTAGCAGACAAAAGGGAAAGAATTGTATTCAAAGCAGTCACATTTTCCCTTTATTTTCCCAGTGGGGAAGTTTTTGATTTCTCCTTTTGTTGTCCTGCTTTTATGTGGATTTTGAGGGCAGCGCAGTGTGTGGGTGCCGCTGCCCGAGCGTGGCTCCGGGGGAAGCTCACGGGGGGAGCAGCAATGGCTTGGAAATCCAGCCTGCAGTTAATCAGTCATTAATCTTTTAATCTTCCCCTCAATCCGGAGCTTGATAAGAGCCGATGGAGTTTCCCAGACGGAAAACTGCCCTTCCCGGGGGTGAAGCCCCGGTGCCCGGGGGCGCGATGGAGGATCCCTGAAGGCAGGGCACTAATCCTGCCTCTCGCCTCAGCACCCCGAGTGCCTTCTCCCCACTGGGGTATGGCTTTTGGCTTGCAAAATGGTGGCCTTATTTTATCTGGCAGACACACGGAGGGGTCCAGCAGCCTGGAGGTTGGGCTGAGAGGGAACCGGTGGCGGTGGCTGCTCCGGTCCCTCCTGGGGGGACAGGGGACGGGACGGGCAGACGCTGCCTCCTCTGGGCTCCACCACTTGTGTGGCAACAGCACCCGTGCCCAGCTGTCTGCCCGGGCGTAGGCGAGCCAGAGCCCGGGGCTGTTTTTAAAAAATCTAAATATTAGGGAGGAACTAAAGTAAAGTTTGGAGGTGGAGGAATACATTAAAACAGCTGCTTCGAAAAATACACAGAAAGCAGCCCCGCGATATTAACAAAAATGCCTTAAATCTCAGCAGACCCTCGTGTATGCTGCTTAAATATTTTCTCTTCTGGCTTCAGAGCAGTAGGATAAACTGTCACTGTGAATTATCGCGTGCTGTTACGAGAATAACAAAGGAACTACTTAGAATTTTGTGATGTCGGGCATAATTTATTCTTTTACTTCAGTTCATATTTTTTTTTTTCAAAGAGAAGCTACAAAATGAGACGCTGTTTGTCACCAGCAATTTTGGCATATTATTGTTTCATTGTGTAGTCCCTGCCGTATAAATAACCACATCATTAACACGTCGGATACATTCAAACGAGGTACATCTTAGTAGCAACTGTCCCTTCGTTTGCCCCTCAAAAACCCCTCTTACTAATGGATGACTGTTTCTGTGCCCGACCCTTCCCTTTCCTGAAGGGAACGCGTTGAAAATACGAGTCGTCCTGGGGAGACACAGGTGATGATCCAGAACCTGATGCCAGAGACGGTCTATGTCTTCCGCGTCGTGGCGCAGAACAAGCACGGCCCCGGAGAGAGCTCCGTACCCCTGAAGGTGGCAACTCAGCCTGAGGGTGAGCCCCAAAGATTTCCAGTCCTCTTGACTTTGGCATCGATTTTATTTGTTTGTTTGTTTTCCCCCATTCGTGACCTTTCCCCAGAATAAGTTGATGCTCTTTAAAAGTTGCATTTCCCAACCGGAGTTTCAAAATGATTTTCCAAGTCACCCTGTTGGTGCTGATATGATTTATTCTCACCCTTGAGAAGAACTGATCAGACATTCCTTGTTAAATTCAATAAGGTTTCTGTTATAAAAGAATTGCTATTAACTGAAAGAAGAAAAAAACCAGAACTTTAGGAAAATGCGAAGTGTGTCATTTGTTAGGGTCATTCATGGAATTGTCTGGGTTGGAAGGGACATTTAAGATCATCTAGTCCAACCATCAACGTAACTCTGATAAAACCCATCACTAACCCATGTCTCTAAGCACTATGGCAACCCGGCTTTTAAATACCTCCAGGGATGGGGCCTCAACCCCTTCCCTGGGCAGCCCATTCCAAGGCTTCATAACCCTTTCCGTGGAAAATTTTTTCCTCATCTCCAATCTGAACCTCCCCCTGGGGCAACTTGAGGCCATTCCCTCTTGTCCCATCACCTGTTCCTTGGGAGCAGAGACCGACCCCCCCTGGCTACACCCTCCTTTCAGGGAGTTGGAGAGAGCGAGAAGGTCTCCCCTCAGCCTCCTTTTCTCCAGGCTGAACACCCCCAGCTCCCTCAGCCTCTCCTCACAAGACTTGTGCTCCAGACCCCTCCCCAGCTCCATTGCCTTCCTCTGGACCCACTTCAGCCCTTCAGTGTCTTTGTGGGACACAGCGCTCGAGGTGGGGCCTCATCAGTGCCCAGTACAAGGGGATGATCACCTGAGTCCTACTCCCCACGCTGCTCCTTGTCCAGGCCAGGTTCATGACAAAATGAATCTGACCCAGGGAGGAGGATCTCCCTCAGAAATGTGGTCCCACCTTTATACCCCCCTATGAATCCATGTGAAATGCTGAAATGGGAACAAATATCCATCTTTTAACTGGAGTCAGTTAATAGAGAAGTTGACGTGAAAGTAATTGGCTACTAAATGGTTAGAGTTGGTGACTAGCTGTTCCATGCTTATGTTCCAGTTCAGCTGCCTGGTCCAGCACCCAACATCCGGGCGTACGCCAGCTCCCCCACCTCTGTCACCGTCACCTGGGAGACACCACTGGCTGGAAATGGAGAAATCCAAAACTACAAGCTCTACTACATGGAGAAAGGACAGGACACCGAACAGGTATGGAGCTGACTCTTCCTGCCTGGTATATAGTGCCTTAAACAGCCTTCTGTCTTTCATTATGCTTTTATCTCAAATTTCTAGAAACACCTTGTGAAGTGTTCACTTTTCTGATAGTCTGAATCTTTTCTCCTAAAATATGGAAATACTTAAAAATCCAGCATGAAACGTATATGTCTTGGAATTAAAACAATGTTTTATGCGATGGTTTAGTTAGGTATTCTTCAGCATCAAGAAGCATTTGGGGATGTCCATCATGTATCACCCTTTCAGCAAATGGGGTGTCCATATCACATGAGAAAAACTCCAATAACGGCTCTGTCGTCATTTACCAGTTCTGGTTCACACAGCATAAAGGATGTTTGCGTGGGTTTGGTAGGTTAGTTGGTTTTATTTTAGTAAATTTAGGCCAACTTCTGATTTCAGCATCATCCTTAATCTGAACTGTTCTTGCTTGTTGAGTTCTTTGATCCAGTGATGTGTTTTAGTAGTGGCGAGTGTCTAATTGATTAAGTTTTCTTATGATTCTACTGGAAGAATCCAGTATGTTCTCTACAAATATAGGTTGCCACCTGAGAATAATCACAACTTTGGGATGATTAATCTCAGTCATTTAATTATCCATCCGATTGCGTGTGAATATGATTCCAGGTTTAAAAAAAGCTGAGGGAAGAATATTTTTGCGAGCATTTAAAATAATTTTTGACATCCATTTTTAAATAGGGAAGTCATACTCCTTAGATCATAGAAGCAGAGTCATGGAATGGTTTGGGTTGGAAGGAAGCGTGAAGGCCATCCAGTCCCACCCCCTGCCCTGGGCAGGGACACCTCCCACCAGACCAGGTTGCTCAGAGCCCCATCCAACCTTGAACCCCTCCAGAGATGGGGCAGCCCCAGCTTCTCTGAGCAGCCTGGGCCAGGGTCTCGCCACCCTCACAGCAAAGCAAAGAATTTCTTCCTGAGATCTCATCTAAATTTCCCCTCTTTCAGTTCAAAAGCCTTCCCCCTCATCCCATCGCTCCCCTCCCTGATCCAGAGTCCCTCCCCATCTCTCCTGGAGCCCCTTGAGGGACTGGAAGGGGCTCTTAAGGTCTCCCCAGAGCCTTCTCTTCTCCAGGCTGAACCCCCCCAACTCTCTCAGCCTGTCCTCACAGCAGAGGGCCTCCAGCCCTCCCAGCATCTCCGGGGCCTCCTCTGGCCCCACTCCAACAGGTCCATGTCCTTCCTGTGCTGAGGCCCCAAAGCTGGACGCAGTGCTCCAGGTGGGATTTCCCCAGAGTGGAGCAGAGGGGCAGAATCCAACCCCCTCACCCTGCTGGCCACTCTTCTTTTGATGCATCCCAGGGTGCAGATGGTTTCTGGGCTGCCAGTGCACGTTGCTGGCTCACGTAGAGCTTCTCATCCACCAACACCTCCAAGTCCTTCTCCTCAGGGCTGCTCTCAATCCATTCTCCTCCCAACTTGTATTTGTGCCTGGTGTTGCCGTGGCCCAGGTGCAGGACCTTCTAGTTGGCCTGGTTGAACTTCATGAGGTTCACATGGGCTTAGCTCTTGGGCCTGTCTAGGTCCCTCTGGATGGCATCCCTTCCCTCCAGCGTGTCGCCCACACCATACAGGTTGGTGTTCTTGGCAAGCTTGCTGAGGGTGCCCTTGACCCCACTGTCCATGTCTCCGACAAAGATATTAAACATCATGGGTCCAGGTACTGACCCCTGAGGAACACCATGCGTCACTGGCTTCCCGTTGGACGCTGAGCCATTGACCACAACCCTTTGAGTGGGGCCATCCAGCCAGTTCCTGATCCACTGAGTGGTCCATCCATCAAATCCATGGCTCTCCAATTTAGAGACAAGATGAAACGTCATTTTCCACTTCTGCATCCCACTATTCAGAACATAATCATAATTTTCACTAACAGAGAGGTTTGCCTGATCTCTTTTCATTTACAGACCCAGTGTCCGTGCTGTGACAGGGCAGACAGGTCGTGCTTTCTCCCCACACTCACTGTTTGCACCTTCACAAGTCGTGGCCGTGAATAAACTGTGTGTTTCATCTGCAGGTGCTACAGATGAACTTTATTGTGTGTGACTTTATTGCTGCACGCAAAGACCTGTATAATAGTGTCAGACCTGCTTCTCACCTTGCCTTCTACACGTTAACTTTATTGTGTGTGACTTTATTGCTGCACACAAAGTCTAAGACCTGTATATTAGTGCCAGACCTGCTTCTGACCTTGCCTTCTACACGTGTGTTTGTCAACAGGACGTTGATGTAGGAGGACTCTCCTACACCATTAACGGGTTAAAGAAATACACCGAGTACAGTTTCCGAGTGGTGGCGTACAACAAACACGGCCCCGGGGTCTCCACCCAAGATGTGGTTGTACGAACGCTGTCAGATGGTAAGCTGCTTTATTCCAATCTTTTTTTTTTTTGGCAGGAATTATGTGGTAATTTCCTTTAAGTGAATTTTTAACCAGAAAGACTTCTATGTTTTTTGTTCATTGTTGCCCTATTTTATTAATAATGTAGTTGTTGCCCATGCCGTGCACGCTGAAAGTTGCCCCGGAGGCTTTCCAAATTAGGTGAAAGAAAATTACTATACCTGATTCTGATTAGGAAACAACTGTATCCTTCATTTCAACATCAGTAGTTTATTTCATGGGTTATTGAGTCTACAAAAGTATTAAGAGTGGACAGAAACACAATTAAATTGAAGTCAACAACTCCAGATTGTTTTTCAGCTTCTATAATATTTTTACATACGAGCAGACTTTTGCTTTTGGAATGGTTTTATTTTAATTGTGGTCGTATGGGAAAATGCTGCATGTCTTTGTTTGGACCCCAGCGCTATTAAATCAGCTGCATATAATAATGAAAGCAGGCAGGGGCAACAGTAGTTTCTGTAAGGCAAATAAAGAGGTAACGTGAGCAAATATAGACATAGGAAGAGTTGTAGAGTGATCACAGGTAATGTTAACTTTTATTTTTTATAGAGAAGTTAATTTATATGTAAGAATAGTCAGAGCCTGGCCTGGAATCCTGTCTCCAGGAGTGACCAGGAGCAGAACAGACGAGCAGAGAGTGTTGTCCCAGTCCATGTCCAAAAGTTTGTTTCTCCAGGACTTTTTCACTCTGCAGTGGTTTCTGCGTGTTTACTAATTCAGTTTCTCTTCCGTGAAACCCTGTCAGCATCCTCTTTAACCCATGGCAGCTTTTAGCATCCATGACAACAAGGATTCTACAAATAAATTTCCTGTGAAAAATCACCCCATTTTGTCTGTTTTGAACCTGCTGTGTGTTAGTGTCATCTGTTGCCTGTGGCTGTACTGCCTGGAAGAGGGAATAATCAGTGTCCCACCAGCCCTCTCCATCCCCCTCCTCACTTTACAGACTTTGCTGTGTTCTCCCTCATCCATCTCTTTCCCAGGTCCTGAAGCCTCAGAGGGATCAGTCTTTTCTTTTGTGGAAGCTGTTTTGACTTTCAGTGCCCTTTTCCCAACTTTTCTTGGGCTTCCTTTCTCCTGCACGCTTCCAAAATTGGAGATAGAGGGGACTAAAATTGTACCAAAGATGCAAGTGTGTAAATACTAGCATCTGACTGACTTTTCAGTTCATTCTGAGCACTAAGGTGACATTTTAGGCGTAGGCTGATCTTGGTGGACTTGCTCTGCTTACAGCCATCGTTTCACATATAGAGGCAGGTTGGTTTTTCCCACCTTAAAGTGTGTCACTTCAGCCACTGTGAATTTCATCTGTCCCTTTACATCCAGGCACAAAATGTCCTGGAGTCTTTCTGCAGTTCTTTACCATGGGATCTCACCCGTGCTGACGTCTCACCTGGCTGCTCAGCCTCCTTTCATCACGTAGGGATGTGTTGAGCCAAAGGGGTCTCAGCACAAACCACGGTGCAGCCCCACAGGTCCCTTCCCACCACCCACGTTCCTTCCTTCTCTTGCCTTTCTTTTAACCAGTTGTTTGCTCAGGCGAGGGCTTCTCTCCTGCCCCTCCTGGCTTTGTTTCTGAAGAGCTCTCCACCAGGTGTGATGGGAGATTTCCCTTTGAAAAGTGACACATTTGCATTATCACTCCATGTCGCTGGGGATTTCACGCTCTGTTGTAGCTGCAGTTTATTTGCCTAATACAGGTTCCTGACTTATTACTTACTGATGTTTCTCAAATGCAACCCTTTTACAAATCCTGGCATCGATTTCCCATCTCCTGGTGTGGAGGTGACTTGTGAGAGGTTACAGCAGCTGTTTCGGTCCCAAGCTCCTTGAGAAATCCCAATCCCAGCATCAAAGCCTGGCGATGCGCTGCTGGTCCTTCTCTCTGACTCTTCCAGAACCCTCTCTATTGACATTTTGGTTTCACAGATACTGTAAGTCCCTCGTACAAGGTGTGATGGAAACCTCTCCTCTTCCTTTCACCCAGTACCAATGCAAAGAGGGTAGTTGTGTGGCTTAATTTCTTTTTTTATCTGTCAAACCCGGAGCATTTGCTAACTCTACAATTTCTCTAAAGGGCTTCCAGCCCTTCATTTGTTTGAAGAAGAATGTATTATTGTAATGTCATTTTCAAGTTTTCCTGAAGTTCTTTCTGGCCCAACCTAGGTTTTAACATTTAACCTATGGATATTTATTTTCTACAGCTTTCTGAAGGATGGCATCTTGCCTCTAACAGTCTTTTAGCCTTGCTGCTTAACTGTGCCGCTCTCCCCTCCAATCTCTCAAATCTTTCTGGATGAGCAATGCATGTTTTCTTCTTGCCTTTTCTTACTGTGGTTTCTGTAAGCAATCTCCACGTTCCCTGCAGGGATTGCTCTTTAAGCTGCTTTTAGCTTCTATTTAACAATCTGCTTTGGTTTGATGGAGGTTTTTGCTCCCAATCTAAGTGTGTTACGGTGGTTTGTTGCAGGATAGCCCTTCAGGTATTACAGCTTCTCTTCTCCTCTCTTCCTGATCTATAGGAAGCCGTTGTGTATCTCAGCTAGAACAGTAATCTCTGCCTCACACCCTGATCGAGGACGATTCCTTTACCAACTCGTCCTCGTGGTCTCTCTGAACCGTCACCACCTCCAGCCTGGGTGGTCACTCTACAACAGACCAAACCAGGCTCTGCCTTTCCTTGCGAACCACGGGCTCTCAAAACCCATTTGATCTGCTGCCCTGGTTAAGTTCAGAGTCTGATCTGAGTCTAAGCTTCCTTTGACATAAAATGAACTGTGCACATGGTGAGATATGTGTGTATGAATATATTTACATACGTGTATCCTCCTCTGTGTCCTACTGATCGTCTTTCTCTCACCAAGTCTGCAGTATATGCATTAATTGTTATTCATCCTTGTGAAGCCTATGACTTAATTTTAGGTTATTCTGAAAGTAGGCACCGCGTAAAACAAAGAGGAGAAAACCCCTTAACTTTATTTTATTTCCTTCTCTTAACTTGTTAAGATAACTTCTCTTAAATGTTCCTGCTTTTTGAAGGACGTAGGACTTAACCCCTTGATCTGGTGATTTCAGACTCGGTTCAGTTGGCAAGAGAGAAAGAAAACCAAATCCTCATTGTCTCCATTTCTGTTGTTGACCTGGGGAAGAGGGTATTTATTTAACCACACCCCAGTGTTCCTTTCACTTATCTCAGGCCACTTTCACTTTATGTACTAGGGGTGTTTTTGTCGGTATTGTTGTGGCTGGTGTGAGTTATTTGGAAAATGCATTATTCAGGCCAGAACAATCTTGAGACCTCTTGTGCTGCTTGTCCTTGTGCTTTGCTGGAGCCTCACCTTCCTGTCAGGGAACCCTTATCTCTGCCTTTGAGCCAACGTTTGCGGGGATGAAGTGCCATGATGAGGGTTTCCTTGGTCTCAGGTTCTCTCTTTCATTGCTGGTTTGTCTATTGGATCTTCACTGTCAGGACCAGCACGTTGCTACAGCTGGTAAAGAGCTACCAATGAGTGGAAGTTTAAAAGCAGAACCTGTCTTTGCGATGCACTTCACCTCTTCAGCAACACAGGGTTGACTCTTGAGTTTTGAGTTGACCATTGAGTTTTTCCTGTTACAGAAAGTCATGGTAACAAAAACCACGGCTACAATTTTATATGTGGGTTCCCAGGATCCAGCATGTAAATGAAATACTTGATTTTGAAAAGTACTGGATGTGATCTGTTTTCTAAGAGCTTATGGGAAGTACCTTTAAATAAAAGACTTTTTTTATTTAGATACCTGTGATAAGTAAAGACCTGAGTAAAAAGTGAGTTCATTTCTTTATGATGAAAAATCTGCAAACTTCCTAAGCCAGTCACTGTATGTCATAAAGTCCCTCTGGTAGGATTTTGAGTTTCTTTATATCGTGTCTTAAACCAGAAAGGTGTGTATTTTCATCATGAATGACAGCAGAGAGCCGTTGGGTAAGGAAGTACAGTGTTTGATACAGTACATGGATATTTCAGAGTTGTAATTCCATTAATGTTTCTAGTCCCCAGTGCTCCACCACAGAATCTGACGCTGGAAGTACGGAATTCCAAGGTAAGACATGGAGAATTTCCTGTTGGGAGTGGGGAAATAAAATGTCGGTGGGTCTTAGATCGGCCAAATTTTAGAGCTGCTTTGGGTCCTTTTTTGCCCATGCTGCTTTTCAGCTGTTTGTGCCTGAGCTGCCCAGCAGGAGAATATCTGAACCCGGGGCTTGAAGCGTGAGAAGCTCCCATCCAGCTGTGGGTTGTACATCATGGGATGCAGTGAGGCCAGTGACAATGTCCCAAAGCACGGAGGCTAACGATGAACAAAGTTTAATCAGGCTCAGAAGCCTGAAGCACCAGAGCTTGAATGTGTGTGTGTTGATGAACTATTGTTTACAGTGTGTGCGTTCACATGCACCATTATATTGTCCTCGGATGCAGTGAGGCCAGTGACAATGTCCCAAAGCACAGAGGCTAATGATGAACAAAGTTTAATCAGGCTCAGAAGCCTGAAGCACCAGAGCTTGAATGTGTGTGTGTTGATGAACTATTGTTTACAGTGTGTGTGCGTACACATGCACCGTTATATTGTCCTGGGCACTTCACAGGAGGAAATTATATACTTCATCACTAAAGTCATAATGACTATGATTGGAGATTTTTTTAAAAGCCTTTTCTAAATACTCCTTTCAAAATACCTTCTTCTACTGCCTGTACGATTAAAAATCACTAACTTCCTGCCCATAATCCACTGTTCAGATAACCTGTATCCTTTAGAGAAAATCCTGGTCCTTAAAAAATAGATCCTCAAGTCAAATGTATCTTCAGATAACCAGAAGAAAATGAAAGGGAAACCTGAGGGGCCATTTCTGAAATTGGAATCAGAAGGTCTAATAGGATTGAAGTGCTTTGAGGTGAACTTCTCAAGGCACAAGCATGACCTGGGCTGCTGCTGAGCCTGAGGTGCTTTCCTTTTTGCAGAGAGCCTATGGGTTATCACATGAAAATGCAGTATTTTCTGTCTGTGTGTTTTCCCGTTGTGTGTTTGATGAAGTATTGGCACTTTGGGGTTTGGCTGCCTGGGGTCGATGACTGTGACCTTCTCCCTCCCGCAGAGCATCATGCTGCACTGGCAGCCGCCCCCCGCGGGGACACACAGTGGGCAAATCACCGGCTACAAAATCCGCTACCGCAAAGCGTCCCGCAAGAGCGACGTGACGGAGAGCATCGGTGGGACCCAGCTCTTCCAGCTCATTGAAGGTGAGTTTTTATTTGCAAGTGTTTGTTGTCAGAGAGGGGTTTTTAGGTGCTTTCAATGGGCTGAGGCTGAGAGACGTGTTTTGTGCAGGGTTCTTGCCTTGGAAGAAAAAATGCAAACCCTTAAAATGAGTGTTTGTAGGCGATGGGGTAGTGTGGGCTGGCTGCTGGTAACCAAAGTCTCGTGGCCTGTTTTCTAGTATTCATTTAGCCATTGATTTGCTGAACGGACTGGATGAGTCCTCCTAAAACCAATACAAAAGGTGCAGGGGTTCCATAGAGAGGATGGTGTGGGCTGGCTGCTGGTAACCAAAGTCTCATGGCCTGTTTTCTAGCATTCATTTAGCCATTGATTTGCTGAATGGACTGGATGAGTCCTCCTAAAACCATTACAAAAGGTGTAGGGGTTCCATAGAGAGGATGCAGGACAAGAGGAAATGGGCACAAATTTCAACATAAGAAGTTCCACCTCAACATGAGGAAGAACTTCTTTCCTGTGAGGGTGGCAGAGCCCTGGAAGAGGCTGCCCAGGGAGGTGGGGGAGTCTCCTTCTCTGGAGACATTCCAAACCCCACCTGGACACGTTCCTGTGCGACCTGCTCTGGGTGGGACCTGCTCTGGCAGGGGGTTTGAGGAGATGATCTCCAGAGGTCCCTTCCAACCCCCTAGCATTCTGTGATGGACAGACAGGATGAGCTCGGGACCAAATGCCAGAAATAAAAGTGTGGAGACGGATGCTACGGAGATGCCATGGGGCAGGGGCTTGGCAGAGTCCTCTCCTGGCCTGTGGGTGTGATGGAGGAGCCCGTGCTCCAGCTCACAGCGCTCGCCCACAAGCCCACCTCAGATCCCACCTATGAACTTCCCACCTCAGGCATCTCTGCAGAGCATCCTGCCCAATTTCACTGACATCAATCTTTTTCCTTTTTCCTGGCGTGAATGTAATATATCTTCTCTTTACTTTATACGCTTAAAATCCAGCCTAGTCCATTACTTAGTATAAATTATATATTGTTACCAGAACTAGAATTTTGTATGGCAGAAATAAACAGCACAGGAGAACAGGAGCAAGGCTACAGATCATTCATTTTTTAAATCTCTGTAAATGAACACTTGGTCAAAAGAGAAGAAATTGTGCCTCTCTAGGAAATGACTATACACTTCTTTAACAAGATGTTTTGATTTGTTCTCAAGAGCTCCAGCTGTGACTCCGTGAGTTTCAGTTTCTCAGAGTAGGAGTGGATGTGTGCTTGTAACTAGAGTATATTTTTGCCAGCAGCAAAGCCTGTTTAAGAAGTTCCATATATCAAATTTTGAGTGTTTCCATACTGCTTTGGTTATTGATTATACGCTCTTATGTAGTATTTGCTCATTTTGGTCACTTGTTGTCCATACTGCACACCTGGGTTTAGTTATGGGTGTGGGTGGTTCTGTACTTAAAACCAGTTAATGGTCAGAAATTAAAGCTGGCTGCAACCAGCACCTCACGGTGTCTGCCAGCAGCCCACGGGGACAGTCTGGGGGGTGTCCAGAGGAGAGCCACCAAGCTGGTGAGGGGCCTGGAGAACAAGTCCTATGAGGAGAGGCTGAGGGAACTGGGCATGTTTAGTTTGGAGAAGAGGAGGCTGAGGGGAGACCTCATTGCCCTCTACAACTACCTGAAAGGAGGTTGTAGAGAGGCAGGTGTTGGCCTCTTCTCCCAAAGGACGAACGACAAGACCAGAGGAAATGGTCTGAAGTTGGGGCAGGGGAGATTTAGATTAGATATTAGAAAGAACTACTTTACTGAGAGGGTGGTCAGGCCCTGGAACAGCCTGCCCAGGGAGGTGGTGGAGTCACCATCCCTGGAGGGATTTAAGAAACGTATAGACATGGCTCTTCAGGGGCTGCGCTAGTGCCCAAGGTTATTGGTTTATGGTGAGGTGTTGAGTGTGGGGTTTAGTTGGTGGGTGCAGTGGGTTTTTGGTTTTTTGTGTTTTTTTTTTTTTTTTTTGTGGTTGGACTCGATGATCTCAGAGGTCCCTTCCAACCACTAAGATTCTGTGATTCTGTGTCACAGCCCTGGGTGTCCCTGGTGACAGTGCAGCTGTCACACCAGGCTCCAGCGGACACGCTGGGCGAGAGGCAATTTGCGCTCAGGTCATACCTGTGTTTTAATGAGGAACTGTGATTCCCATGCTCAGGGTTGGAATCCCGGGTGGTGTTGATGGAATTCTGGTGTTGATGGAATTCCGGTGTTGATGTCCCAGGTGCTCTTTGCCCCTTAGGTCTGGAACGAGGCACAGAGTACAGCTTCCGAGTGGCCGCCCTGACCGTTAACGGGACCGGACCAGCGACCGACTGGGTATCGGCGGAAACATTTGAGAGCGACCTGGATGGTAAGAGCAGAAGTGTCACCGTGTTTGTGACACCCAAAACACCAGAATTCGTGCACAGTAATGTTTGTTTGCCTTTTTAGAAGGCAAACCTGATTTTGTTCAGTTGGTTTTACTGTGTTCTAATTATACAATATGCTCTAATTATGATTAAAATTAATTTTTATTTTAACATCAAGTTCTTGCCAAGTCAATTAAATAGCTTGATATTAGACCCTGCTTCTACGCTGTCTGCTGCTGTATGTTGGCACTGTTTTTTCTGCTAAGAAATTCCCAATTATGAATGACAATGTCAGCGTTTCAATATTTAAATAATAATAATACATTATGAGATTCATATAATGGTAACAGTGGCTCGATTTTTGTAGTGTAATAAAATTAATCTTGTTAATTATGCAGGAGTTTACATGCTATGAAGCAGAGGTAGGAGGGCTGTTTTCCTGGAGGGCAGTAAGACAGTGATTGTGCATTGATGTACCACTGAAGTTACACTGACGAAACCACTGACGTGTGCCTCCAAGAGCACAGAGCAGTGATGTGCTATTTTCATACTGGGGGACACTGTGCGCCCCCAAACTGGACGTGCCCCTGTTGATGGTGTGCACTGTGGCTGCAGACTCAGAGCTGTAAACTTTGTCAAATGTGAGAGAGATGCCTCAGCAGGAGGAGAGAAGTGATGGAAAGCATTGGTGTGGCCCTCAGACCTTTGCACAGACGGCTGGCTCTCACCAGTACCATCCTTGGTTACAATATTTTTCCTGGGCTTTTTTTTAATTTAATTATTTTTGGCCTAGACTCCTTCTAAAGAAACATTTGTCCCCCAATAATTGTTACTTTGCCACTTTAAAAGAAAAGGGAGATCGATTCTATTTCCAGTAGTGGCAGACTGGTATGGATCACATCTTCCATCAGAAACATAGTCTTTTCCTCCAAATCCCTAGATCCATGGGGACACCATTCCTGTGTGGTGTACACCTTGTTAGCAGCTTGTTTTTCCAATGTAGAGGTTAACGATACAAGTAGAAAACGTCCTGTGAAAAATGTTGACCTTTGATAGTTGGTCCAGATGTTTGGTATTTACTGCACTGGAATAATTTGCAAGAGGGAACCTGATTCTTGCAGAATTCAAATGAGCAAATTCATGAACGTCTCCCAGAATCTGACGAAAAGCAAATAAAATGGAAGAAAAGTGCCATTTTTAAAGGCTGGCTGGGATGAATCCCTGTGGAACTGCCTACCTGGAGCTGGTGATTCTGGGTAGACTGTTCCTATTTCCGAAAAGCCTTTAATTAGTGCTGTTGCACACAAATTACCTTCCTCTTTGTGCAGCCCCGACTCCCTCTTGGCTTTGTTAAAGGAGCTGGAGGGTCGTTCTAGCTTAATGCCACGGGATCCAGTAATGGCTTTCACATCTGCGGGGCTGGAGGTTCTGTTATACTGGCAGCTGGAGAGAGAATAATAAAAGACCTCCAGTATTTGCTCTGGACTGTTGGAAAATTGCTTCAGCATCAGCTGATGCAGCCCTTGAGAGCCCGGGCTTCGGTCTGTGTGTTACGCAAAGTTGATGCTCAACTTAATGCTTGTTACTGCTTACTCTGCTTGGCTTCATCAAGAACAGCACAAACCCCAGTGTTAACAGCAGAGCTCAGGTTTGTAGGCATTTAGAATGACTCTTTGGAGTTGAAATGACTTTCTGTCCGTGTGTCTGTCTTCCTCCAAGGGGGTGTGACACAACCAGGCAGCTCTGAGACCCCCCTCATTCCCCCAGCTGAAGCAGGGCTCTGGAAACGGGCAGCGCTTCCAGCAGGCAATGAAAAGGTGTTCTGCTGCTGAAGGAGAGCAAAGGATGCTCTGCCAAGAGCATCAGGATTAAATTTAAATCGGGCAGAAGGAGGGAGAAGAAAAGAACCCTTTTCCTTCTGTGTTGATTTTATAATTTTAGTCTGTTTCCAAGTGGAATGTTGCAGCCCTTGCAGGAAACCTTAACTTTCTTTACGTATGTGCTCTACAATGAATAAAGTAATAACAATTCCCAGGTAAGACAATGTACCATGGTATCCATGTAACTCTGTACACGTGTGTGAGATGCTGCTGTAAGTGGGTACTGGAAAGAAGCTGTATATTTCTTGCTTTTCTTTGTTTAGTGAGCTCGTGGATAATTTTAATACCATGCAAATGCATTTACAGCTAATCTTTAATTTCTCAGGTTCCATATACGTGTAAGGCATAATTCCTTTTTATTTTATGGCTCCTTTTTGAGTTTAAATAGAAAATAATTGACTTTATAGTGTCTTCAATGTAAATGGGAGCCAGACTGTTATCTGTATTTGTGTAAAAAATTTTGTGTAATTTTGCAGAGTCGGTGCAAGTCCCGCTGGGAGCACGTATGCAAGGGGTGTCAAACAATTGTACAGAGTTTATCCCCAATGCACTAACTCCAGTGCAGTTAAAAATGTCACCTCTTATACTGCAATTCTGTAGCTTTTCTGTATTTATTTGTTGGGAACTTTAATTGATCAGCTGTGTCAGCTGGAGCCCGGGAACTCCCCGGGCTGACAGGGCAATGGCATTGTATGATCCAAATAATCCTGTTGTGATGCTTTATTAAATGTTTTTAGATAAATGCAGCATGTTTCATTAAAATGAAATCCCTGCAGGAAGCAGAACTCCCTGAACTGATTTTATTTTAGAGTGGGGAACTTGGCTTGCTATTGCACAGAATTATTTAAAATCTGTCACCATTGGGCAGGCTCCCGTAGCCTGACAGAGTTGAAACAAAGGTGTGGACAATAGCAGGTGGAGTTGTGCTGTTAGATTGCTGTCATCACCACTGGGGAAAAATCCTTTCAGTAACAATATTTGAGGGTTACAGTGAGATTCTGCGGAGTCCTCCTGTTGTTAAGGATCCACGATCCATCTCTGTTGGGTTGTGCCTGGGTTTGTGTGGGGTTTGAGCACTTCTTACAGACTCTGAGTATTTTCTGACCTTGTGGTGTGGTTGTGTAGCCTCTGGAAAGTCTGTGAGTTCTGTAGAAGAGACTGGAGGAGACACAGCAACAAGTGTAGGACAAATCACAACAAACCTTTGCAGCTCGTGGCGATACCCACTTCGCTGACAGTCCTGAAAGCTTTGGAATATTCTATTTAATTGTACAACGAGCTGAGGAACTTTTCTTTCATCATCAGTGCATTTTCAATGTAATTATTTTAATGCCCACAAGTAAGTAATACGATGGAACTAAAAGTAGATTGCTTTGTGGAGGGGATGGACGTGATAAATTTAATGCACATTTTGAAGAATTACAAATTGGAAAGAACATGCACAAACATCAAAAAAGTCTGCCTTGAAGCAGATCTGATACTTCTCTTCAGTACGATTGTCCTTTCTTTTAAAGAGAGTATCTATTAAAATCTATTAGTATATGAAACTATGCTAATTTTCTTCTGCTTATTAGAGTTCTTTGCTGTCTCGTGTACAGTAAAGTGCTCTCCTTTGGAGCTCCTGCTTTCAGTGCAGAGGCGGAGTGGAAGTGCTCCGTTGACCTGTACGTAATTACCTTTATTCAGGAGAAGTCCTTTAATTCCATCATTTGTCTTTAACAGAAACTCGTGTTCCCGAAGTTCCGAGCTCCTTACACGTCCGTCCACTGGTCACCAGCATCGTGGTCAGCTGGACCCCCCCTGAGAACCAGAACATCGTGGTGAGGGGCTACGCCATCGGGTACGGCATCGGCAGCCCCCACGCCCAGACCATCAAGGTGGACTATAAACAGAGATACTACACCATCGAAAACTTAGGTAAAGAAAGTGGATTCTACCTCTCACTTCAGTTGCTCTTTTCTATTTATGGTATCATAAACAAATTAAAGCACAAGCATGTTTTTTACGAGAATCTTTTTTCTTATCCTAATATTATACCTGAGGCCAAACTGTTGATAAATTTCAAATAAACTCAATTTTCTGTTGATAGAGAAAGAGGCAGACGAATAAAAAAATCCCCAAACCCAGAATCTTAAATTCACCGAGTTTGAAGGATAGTGCATTTTGATTTGATGCTTTGCCTTTAATAGCTATTACAAAGCCCGTCGTGCTGAGCAGCCTTCCCTCAGTCTCCTCCTGGTGCTGCAGAACAGGCGGCTTCAGGCAAAAAAGAAACTAAAATGTCACCAGGATACAGTGGCATCTACTTTAAAAAAACATATCGATTCGCCCCTCCGCAGTATTCTCTGTGGTAGGTAAAATATCCTGAAACCAAAATGAATATTAGTATTGCAAACGATTGAGAAGTTCTATAAAAATCAGAGTTTTGGGTAATATTACAGTAGAGCAACTTCAAATGTTCATTTTAAAATGTTTTTCCTCGTTACTGTTTTGACTGTACTAAAGGCAGATGTGCTGGGACTGCAGCCTTCTGCTGCATGGGAACTATTGACCACTAATGGAAGGTCTGCATGGAGACATTCTCAATCCAGATTTAGTCTAGTTATTTCATGCATTTCAGTTAAAAAATAAAACACTGGATGAAGACGATGTGGAGAAGTAGAAAATAAGATTCACTAACAGTTTGCACTAACAATATGTTCATTTTTTTCCCCCTTTAGACCCCAGCTCCCACTATGTCATCACTCTGAAGGCCTTTAACAACGTTGGGGAGGGGATCCCCCTGTACGAGAGCGCCGTCACGCGCCCTCACTCAGGTAAAGGCGAGGGGCCTCCTGTGTGGATGGGGGCTCCGGGGGGTCCGAGCCCGGGGTTCGGGTGCCATCGAGCACACTCCCTGCTGTGACTAATTGGCCTCACTCATTAGCGGTTGCCTCGCCTCTTCCATCCCCTCATTAAACCACCCACGTTGGGTTGCATTTTTAAACTACAATATTTACCTCTCAACTAGCTATAGATGGCTTTATTCAAAAAGTCACCGTTAAGTTGGCACAAATCGTGTGGGTGACTTCTAAAGGCATTGCCCGTGGTTTGCACAAGTATAGATGTTTTTTAGTCTTTTACACTGAGGTTTTGAATATAATGCCTGCATTTTCTTCGTCTAAGTATCAATCTGCTGGTACTTACACTAAACAAGTATTTACTTCTTTATTTTCATCCTCTAATACATTAATTAAATATTTTCTATAATAAAATATATAAAATTATCAATCATTTTATTAATTTTTACAATATATTAATGAAAGCAGAGAGATTTGTTTGCAAGTGAGCTATTGCTACGCTGGGGCTTGCTCTGCCCCCTACGAAACTGCTGATGTTAGTTATTTTGGGTAGGTGCTACCACTTCTATTCAGTTTAGGCTTCTGAAGAGCAGGAATTCTTACAGATTTTATAGAGGACATTGGAATTACAGTTTCTTCAGTTATTGCAAGTCTGTGTGATACTTGGAACTTGGTTGCCATTAATACTCCAAACGCTGGTGGCAGTTCCCTGTGATTTTTAGGAAGAGGCACTTACCCTGTAGAAGGCAACCAGCTCTTTCTCCTCCTCCTCCTGTTCTGGAAGAGGAATCAGTGGACATTCTGAGGCAAATAAAGTCCAAGTTAAAATCACTGTATGTTTGGGGTTCTTAGGCCCTGGTTTAATGCACTGCACGTGAATACGATTCGCTATAGATATATATTAGCATATAGATGTTGTCTTACTGCCTTAACAAGGGCACACGATGCAAGAGTAATGTTATTGCCCAGTCTTATGTCACCTATTAACTCTGGCTTTTCTCTCTTTTTCTCCATTTCTCACCTTTCATTTCATTGTACTACCCTGCATTTCCCCTTTTTTTTTTTGTTTTCGTTTGCATTAAAATGCCACCTTCTCTCCCTTTTTAATTACAATACGCTACCTTTTTACCCATCAATTCCCTAGACACTTCCGAGGTTGATTTGTTTGTTATTAATGCTCCATACACTCCAGTGCCAGATCCGTCCCCCATGATGCCACCGGTGGGAGTTCAGGCTTCCATCCTGAGCCACGACACCATACGGATCACTTGGGCAGACAACTCTCTGCCCAAGAACCAGAAGATCACGGACGCTCGCTACTACACCGTGCGCTGGAAAACCAACATTCCTGCAAACACCAAGTACAAGGTATCGGTGTCTCCACACCACTGACACAGCAGCAGGAGCTGGCTCAGGGAGGTGGGCAGGCACTTCCAGAAGTAGGTTCTGCTGCAGAGCCATGGGCACGGTGACAGTTTCATCCTTTCTGCTTCACCCCAACGGGGTGGCTCTGTAAGGCAGAGGGGGGACACCTTTAGGGGAGCCCGTGAATAAGGTGTGTGTCACCAACGGCCTCTGCACTGAGGGGTGAGTCACACAGGGAAAAAACTCACCCCAATGGTTCTAACTTTCCTCCCTCTTCTGTTCACGCAGAGTTGATAACGAACCTTTCCTCTGGGAGCTGAACGGGTGCAAAATACATAACAATATGATATCCCTTCCTTGATTTTCCATCTGCCGTTTTGATTTGGAAACTCTGCTCGGGGTTTGGTTTATTGGTTTGGAATTTTTGTCGGTTGGTTGGATTTTTTTAATTTTCAGAGTTTTCTGGAGGCCTCAAAACTGCTGACTGCAAATGTCTCGTTGAAACGAGACTCAGAGGAAATGGTTGTTAAACTACCCAGCTAGTGGAGCTCCCTTTATGCTCTCGCAGAGAAATCTTGTTACAAACCAGATTATTTTTTTTTTTATTATTGAAATGAAAAGATGTATATATGTGTGTCCTTCCTCTAAAGGCCAGTTATTTATGAACCCGCATTCCTGAGTCATGTGCAGAGGCTGTCTGGGGAGTGATTTATAGAATGCTGCACTTCCATTAGTTAAATGCTGAAAAACACCCACCCTCGGTGGTAAATGAAATACTCCCACCGTTCCCGGTGCTGGTGGCCAGTGGTCAAGAAGTTTTATTGTGGAGCAAAAATAATACGTAATGATGGAATATAGTTCAAAATTACTCATTGTAAAAAGCGTTTGCCTGGAGGGACCTAAGTTGGAGAACGTTTGCTCTAATCATTTTTAACCCATGAGGTTTGGAGAACTCCCGTCCTGCTTTTCTTTCTGTGTTTCAATCGTGAGTTCTCTCTTGTGTTGAACAGTGACAAGAGCTGATTTTAAGAAAGGCAAAGCCTCTTCTTGGTGGTGCTGGTGGAGAAGCTGCCATATTTCAGGCAGGTCTTTGGTAACTTCATTGACTAAGAGGTGGTAGATTATTTGTCAGGGCCATCTCTAGCAGTTTTGTTATTTAGTGTGTGTTTTGAGGCTGTTCACCCAGTCGCATCGCAGTTTTTTCATGATGCTGCACACACAAATCCTATCCTCGTGTCAGTCCTGGTGTCCAGAGCTCCCTCTGGTCAGCACAGAGTCATGTCATCTGTCCCCCTCCTCAGGACATTGGATGTTGAGACAGTTTGTTCATATTTTCTACGTTTGCTCCCCCCTTCTAAGCTGACCTTCACAGACTACGATCAAAGCTTCGTGCTTCAGATACAAGTTATGAGGTTACACCTTAAGGAGCATTATTTTCTTAAATTTCTCTAGGAGCTGTGTCAATGAAGAGCATATGAACACAGGCCCAGATACAGCTCCCAGGGCTAAAATACTGGGCTGTGTCCTGACCTGTGCAGTGTCACTAACGTGGTTGAGGGAGCCCGTTTCAAAGCACCTTTGTTGGTGGAGCAGAGCTGTCCTGCAGGCAGGGTACCTGTGATTTATCGGCGTGCTCTCGAGCGTACGACGCTGAAATATTAAATCTTAACTTAGATCTTTTAGGACTGTATGAAAGGAAAATAAATTTTACAGGGTAATATTTATGAAGTTTATTTCTAGTTAGGTGGGCAGGGTTCAGTGCCATGGGATATGTTGTGATCTTAAAAACCGTAAGTGGTGTTAAAAAACTGAAGAAAGCAGAGATGTCTGAGATGCCGGTTGAGCCTTTCATCTGTCATTTACATTCACTGTGATGTGCAGTGAAACTAAAAGATACCAAGTTTCAAAGGCATAGATGAAAAATACAACTTGAACCTGTAAAAAGGACTCCAGCTGCCATGCATGACTGCAGCCAGGAGCTAAAAAATACTATAAACAGAGCTGAATGCTTAAATGGTGTTAGGAATTTCCCCAGGTATTGTGGAGAGGAAGAAATGGTGTGCTTTTCGGGGGGAAGCCAGCCTGGAACGCGGGGTGCTGGGAAAAGCCTTCTCCTTTGGACGTGGCCAGACCCAAAGGTCTCTGCAGCTTCTACTGAAGCTGTTCCTTGATGGCCCTGAGCTGGGGGCAAGGGGTGCCTGGCCCCGGGGGAGCTGGGGGGCAGCTCTTCTGAAGGCAGGGCTCCGGGTGTAAGAGCTGGCCCCTGCTCTACTTAAAGGTCAGAACCACTCGGTCCCAGTCACCTTCACGTGGAAACTGAACCCCAAATCTCAGGATGGCTTGGCTCACAATTTTCTGAACTTCCACCCGGTGTCACCAAGAAGCTGTCACTGATAGTGGAGAAATAAGGGGCTTCTTGCAGAATTTGGACTGTATTATTCATAGAGTCTTCAAGGAACGTGCATTTATAGATGGGCTTTTCCTTGAAAATTAATTAGCTAAAGACAGTTGTTTTCTGAAGGCAACAGTTAATTAGTACAGTCGAATATTGAATCAACTAACTCTAATTCTATATGTAGATCACTGTGAATATACATATACGTAGACACATCTTTTAGTTTTGTCATGGGCCTCAAGTACATGTTGTTCATGTTCAAGTCATGTATAACAAATGCCAGATATTTTAACCAAAAGGCTGAAAATTCTAGCTAAATGGCCGAGTTACAAATTCCACTATAAGCTGTGGGTAGTTTCAGTATGTGATCCTAGGCAACCATTTTTTCTGCAAAAAATCCACATATCCGTAAAGCTTCATTATCTTCAAGTCTCAGCACCTGTACCTTCAGATGGCATTTTTAAATTCTTTTTTAAAAATCCGTTAAAAATGTACTGAGAATGGTAAGAGGAGCTGGGAAGGCAGACCCAGCTCTCAGGAAGGCTGTTATTGTTAGCTCTGCTTCCCTGTTTTCCCCAGCCACATCAGTTAATGAAATGCTGTAAATTAACCCCCCCAAGCAGACAGTGATTTAGTCTGCTGCATAACAAGTGTGCCCTGGACCTTGCATTGCCTTTTTTTATTTTTTTTTAATTTCTAATTGACTGCTATTAAATGCCCTTGCTGATTGCAGAAAGAATTTCTAGTTTAGGGAAAAACAACTGCATGTTAGTACTTGAGGAATGAATTTCCATGATGGAGCAAAAACGTTAGGGAATTAATGACCATGGTTATGAAAATGTTTGAAACACTCACCTGAGAGGAGGGGGTGGAGAGGTGGGGAATGATGGGTCTCAGTCCAGAAGTTACTGACTCTCTGGTTTTTCTTTCAGACTGCGAATGCCACCACCCTGAGCTATTTAGTGACCGGGTTAAAACCCAACACCTTGTACGAGTTCTCTGTGATGGTGACTAAGGGTCGGAGGTCGAGCACGTGGAGCATGACAGCACATGGGACAACCTTTGAATTAGGTACTTCTTCCTGTCCTGAGGGGATGAATGGAGTCTGCCAGAATCCTGGAGGAGGGAAAGCATGTATTTAAAATGATTACGCTGATGAATACTTGCTGGGGGCTTGTTTTCTTCATACAGTCAGAAATTCTGATTAAAAAAAAAAAACCAACAACACACTTCAGAATTCAAAGGGATGATTGCATGCAAAAGAATTTACATCAAATTACGGAGAAGTAATGAATAATGTACCACAGTTCATGGGCAGGAGAGAATAAAGAAGCCTACGTTTGAAATATCTCACAAATGGCACGTTAATAGCAAATACACAGAAAATTCAGTAGCAAATAATAATTAAAATTTGCTATAATTACGATGATAATTATTACAGAGGGAGGAGGTGCATGAGGCAAATGATAAAAAGAAACAAACCCATTAGAAATTAAGACGTCCACATCAGAGGTGTGGTCTTGCAGGATTTTCAGGAAATGGAGGAGATTCAGCAGGAATTGCCATCCCTGTGCTGGGAAATGACGCTCTCCCAAAGCGCGGAACAGAAAAGGGTTTGGAGCTACTGGGAGAAACTTGGGTCCACCCAGTAACTGTGAGGTCCAGGGCTGGTCCCTCATGAGCTCTTTTTATCCTGCAGCGTTAAATGATCTTTGTGCAATTAAATTTAGTGCTTATTATGCTTAGGTTTCTGCCCGTTTGAACTGTAAGGTCAAAAAAAGAGCTTACCCAAATTGCCCCGTAGTTCTCGTGGTGAATGAAAATACAGCAAAAAAAAATAAAAATCAAGCATGCAAAGAATTGATGAGTTCATCCAAATATTCTATAACTAGGCAGGAGAAAAAGCAAAACCAGGATAAAATCAGAAAGCTCTAATATACTCTGAAGTCTCGTAAACCCTTCAAGACCTTCAGTTGCTTTCATTTTTGGTGGGAATCTCATGATTTGGAGTCCCCTGCCCTTCCGGCAGCGCGGGGCTGGATGGGGCTCCTTTCCCATCCCCGAGACAGTGCCTATCCCATGGTAAAATGCTTTATTTGCTATTTTTGCTGACCAGGCGTACGATTCTGATCCCTAAGGCTGTGCTAAGAGGAGAGATGGCGAAGGTGCCCAAATAAAGTTCTTAAAAGAGAATTTGAAGCTCAGAAAGTACAGGAGCGAGGGCGAGATGCAGGAGGTCCCATTTCTTTTCATTTAAATAGAAAGTAAATTCCTAATCAGGGTGGTTGTAAAGATTATTTGCAAATATGACCTGAAACCTTGGGAACTAAGGAGCAAATGAAAAAAAAAAAAACCAAACCAAAAAAGGCTAAATATATTTTCTCATAACAGATGTTGTGATTTATGCCACTCGCCGAATTCCTGAGCGTGTGACTATTTTGAATATTCATGAGCAGCGGCGTTTTGTGGGACCCGCTCCTCGGCCGGTGCCGGGGAAAAATCCGGGATATTGGGTACAGTGTTGCTCTCTGAATGCATCCATCAGCTCTTGAGGGCGAGTCCTGATTTATTTATTTTTAACTCTGAAGTTTACAGTAGGGCCTTGAACTGTGCTTTTCATCTGTCTGTTCCTGTTGAGCACGTTTGTAAGTATTTGGGATAATAGTTCCCCTGACTTTGGAGCTTTTGCTTTCCCTGGTTTCTGGCTGTTCCCCTGCACCCAGGGTAAGGGGTGGCTGGATTGGTTTCTAATGGGTAATACACATAAAGCTCCTGAAATGCAGAAAGCACTGTGTGAGCACTAAATGTTACTGTGACAGCACTAAATACCCACAGTGGATTTACTTTGCTAAAAGTTACCTAATGAGAAGCCTCGTGTTGCTCATCACGTGGGGCCGGTTAATGGAGACGCTGGCTCCGTGCTCTGGGGATCCAGCTGGATGCTGGAGTGTGTGGAGAGAAGAGCTCTGATTTCAGCCTTTTCTGCAACAACTTGGGCCATTTCCCAAACTTTGGGCCCGAGGAGGCTGACGGGTGGCAGGAGAGCCCTCCCCCTCTCTCTGGCAACCCAGGGAAAAAGGCTGGACAGTGGTCTAGATTCCAAATGCTGCTGCGGTGCAGATTTCCTTGCAAATCACAAATCTTCGCTGAAGCAGATCAGCAATTCTGGGTCATGGCTCTAAATCTCTGGTGAATTTACTTCGCCAATTTGGATTTGAGTGGCAAACTGGCACTACAAGCTCTTAGTCCCTCCATAAACTTGAAAATCTGGAGATGCTTTGTATATAAAATGTATTTATTTCACGAATTTTTATTTTATGGTGACGGAAGGAATTCAGGTTAGAAGGTGCTGACCCGGCTGTTGGAGCCACACAAAATGCCATGTTTTTGAAGACACAGGGGCCGGGTGAGCCATGACCCCCAGCCTCTGGTGCAGAAGTGCTTTAGGAGGGGGTATCTCGGTACGGGGAGGTGATGCCACCTGCCCAGTGACATTTGCCAGTGGAACGGAGTCAGTCTGTGAGAGCGTTACGCTGGGATGGTAGATTTATTTGAAGATTGAACCTTCAAGTGATTTTATTATTGTTACGTGCCTTTTATCAATGGTAGAACAAATACAGAGCAAAGGTGCTAAGATGGGTTGTTTATACGCAGTGAAATGGGGTGACTGGTTTTAAATTGGAAGAAAAAAGATTCAGATTAGATCTCAGGAAGAAATTCTTTCCTATGAGGGTGGTGAGACACTGGAACAGGTTGCCCAGGGAAGTTGTGGCTGCCCCATCCCTGGAGGGGTTCAAGGCCAGGCTGGATGGGGCCTTGAGCAACCTGCTCTGGTGGGAGGTGTCCCTGCCCAGGGCAGGGGGTTGGAACTGGATGATCTTTGAGGTCCCTTCCAACCCAAACCATTCTGTGATTCTATGATTCTAACCTGCTCCTGGTCTCTGCTTGTTTGCAGTTCCTACTTCTCCTCCCAAAGACGTGACCGTGGTGAGCAAAGAGGGGAAACCTCGGACAATAATTGTCAACTGGCAGCCTCCCTCCGAAGCCAACGGCAAAATTACAGGTGCAGTTTGTGTGAGGGTTAAAGGCAGATACACGAGGCCTGTTCAACTGCAGAATTTAATCTGCATAACTGTGTGAGCACGCTCCATACTTCGTTCAGCCCAGAGCCAGCCAAGAGCTCTCTATCTTCCTTGTCAATCTTTTAGTAGCTCAGATTAATTATTTACTTTTGTACCTAGTAAAAATGTATTAAGATATAAACTAACTGCAGTGTGAAATTGGAGTCTAACCAGAAATACAATTGGAAATTTAAGTATCTCGATAACCTTTGCCTTCATCAGCTGGTGCCATTCTAATACCGTGGCTCCAGAAATGCATCTGTAATGCCTCTGCCCATCAGTATTTCATACAGAGACTCCATCCCAGTGCTCTTTGTCATCTTTCTGTCATTTTTGTGGCACGGAACAGACTTGAAGTCAGTTTATTAGTCCCCTGACATAACCATTAGGAGTAAACTGTTATTTGCCTTTGTAACTGCGCATCGCTTTCACATGGGATAAATCATTTTACAGAGAATAGTAATTACCGTTTCCTTTCTGTAATTTCTGTTTGCATTCACGTTTCTAAAGACTTCTTGAAATAATTCACTTCCATTTTCCTTTTTTACCCCAGGTGTTATGCTTAAAGCAGATTTTTTTGGCGTGTAGTTTGCAGAGTGTGATTGTGCTTTTGTTCTCAGAATGAACTCAGGGGCAGAATCCAACCCTTGAGACCTGTCACCACCCGGGTCTCACCAGGCAGGGGCTGTGGCTGGGCTCTAGCCAGGAGCCAAGAACTCATTACATCCCTCTGAAAAGACAGAGCACTGGAGGCTCTTAACCTTCAGTCATTACAATAAACTTTTAAGTGAGCTGTAAGACAGACCCCAGAAAGGCAAAGAGGCACCATAGAGCCAATTCTGTGTTGTGTTACCATCAGCAAGGTGTTTCTGCTCTATGGGGAGGGGGTTGGACTGGAGATCCAAGAACATTTATCTTAACTGGAGGTTAAAAGACCTGGCTGCTGGTTGTCAGTGAGGGTGGTTGGGAGAGGTGTGAAATGTCAGGCACAAACCCCCCCAGGTTCTGTACCCCCCTAAGGAGGTCAGGCTGTCATCTTACCTCGGGGGCAGACCTGGGAAAGGGAGGAATGGACAACGA